CCCACTTGAATCTGATTTCCTCTAGATCGTTTCACGCTCTGATACCAGTTGTTGGGAATTTAACACCGAAATCTCTAATGCAACAGAAACGCAGAATAGAAAAAGTACACCAAGTTTTAACGAGGTTCGGCAACTGCCTACGTCCTCGGGAGCCACACAGTAATTTTCTTATTAATCTAACAAGAAATTACAAATCAAGAGCGAATCTCAAACTTGAGATTCCTCAAATAAATACAATCTTTCACTGTAGCTACAGTGAAGATTCCTCTCTTAAATAACACCTCCTCTCAATCTCTCTACAATAAATTCCACCTTTTCAATCTCTTTCCCAATCACGTGAGAACAGAGACAGAGACAGAGAGAGATCGCGAGAGAGAGAAGAGGAAGAGAGAGATCGCAGGTGCCGCCAGGAATCGAAGAGAGAGAGAGAGAGGAAAAAAGATACAGTCTGCTCGAGCCCTAGGGTTTCCCTTTTATAGGAAACCCTAGCTGGGATGTCGATAGGCTGTCGACAGCCTGGATTTCAACCTCGCCTGCAGCGGTTCGACCACGAACTCGCCTGCAGCTCGCGTGCTCGAGATTTCCGCCTGCCCCCAACTTCGCCTGCAGCCATCCGCTCGACTCGCCTGAAGGAATTCGCCTGCAGCTTCTGGATCTCGAGCTCGCCTGCGATGGATCCGCCTGAAGCCGCTGATCTCGAACTCGCCTTGAGCTCGCCTCTGATCCGCCTCGACATCGAGCTCGCCTGCGGAGGTTTGAGTCTACACCGATCTCAACACCCCCAACCCCGGGGCCCTAACCTAATTGACAGGTGGATGCAGCTAATTCACATCCTTGTTTGGAATCCTCAAGATCAGCAGTCATTTTCAAATTATACTAAAATTTTCCTTTGTGTGTCATAGGGTAATCAACAATAATGTAATCAGAGCAACAATATCCTAAAGTGATAACGAGTCTTTATTATTAATTATTTAAATAGATATCCAAACAATTGGATTAACAATGTTAATTTATATATAAATGAGTTTGTAAGAGGACTTTTATCCAAAGAAAGAAAATAATAACTATAGTAACATATTTATTAGAATCTTCGGGATTTTTTTTTTTTGAACCTGTATTACTAAAGGCCGAAAATATATTATTTTATTAGGATCTTTTTTATTTCTGATAGAAGGCGTCAGTTTCGGCCTTGTTCTCGGCTTTTTGATGTTCTCGATCTCTTGATATCTATATCTGGAGATCCTGGCGATCTTTCGGTCTCAATAGGGTAATTAAGGTATTTCTAAGTTATTAAATTTACCTTATATTGATGTTTCTGGTTAGCCATGACTTCATGTAGTTAGTCGGATCTTATATTGTAGCTATAGCTAAACTTTACTGCAACTATCTTCCAATTGTGTACATGTATAGATTATGGATCATGACTTCAAGTTATTGGCTGACTAGAAACTTAGGCATACAAGTTCTCAAGGGGTAGATTTATTCTTATGACTAAATAGATAGGATGCTGGGTTAAATAAAATATAAAAAAAATACATAATTTGATACGGAGTCTAGCATTGTTTTAGTATATGGATTTGTATGGCAGTGGCATATTATATATTGATGAATATCTGTATTTATTCTTTAGGTATCCCTAGAGGTTCTAAGAAAGTGGCTTGAGTTGAGCTTCGTCTATTTTTAGATCAAGGTAAGTCGTGAATTTATGCATTTTGCGCTGCTTATTTTTCATATAAAAGTATATCAAGTATATGCAGATTTGTTCCGAATGGATTATATCATTTTGTATGATTTACTCATATATCGGTTGTTGGTTGGATTGTATTTTATGATGCATGCGGTTATTTTGGTATGAGCGTATGCTTCTTCGTTGACAATCATGTCTTATCATATAGTAGTGAGTTGAGATACATATATGATTGATTAATTTCACTATTGGTTAACCTTTAGCAATTCTTTATGAAGTATTTGGTTATATGAACTTTGTTCAATTGTTCTTAAAGCATATGTATCTCAGGTCAATATATCGGTATATGTTAGAGATAAGTAAGCCATCTAAACATGACTCAATGTGCCTCTATGAGATTATTTTAGCGCTAAATTGGGTCTCTCAGCTCGCGTGCTCGAGATTTCCGCCTGCCCCCAACTTCGCCTGCAGCCATCCGCTCGACACGCCTGAAGGAATTCGCCTGCAGCTTCTGGATCTCGAGCTCGCCTGCGATGGATCCGCCTGAAGCCGCTGATCTCGAACTCGCCTTGAGCTCGCCTCTGATCCGCCTCGACATCGAGCTCGCCTGCGGAGGTTTGAGTCTACACCGATCTCAACACCCCCAACCCCGGGGCCCTAACCTAATTGACAGGTGGATGCAGCTAATTCACATCCTTGTTTGGAATCCTCAAGATCAGCAGTCATTTTCAAATTATACTAAAATTTTCCTTTGTGTGTCATAGGGTAATCAACAATAATGTAATCAGAGCAACAATATCCTAAAGTGATAACGAGTCTTTATTATTAATTATTTAAATAGATATCCAAACAATTGGATTAACAATGTTAATTTATATATAAATGAGTTTGTAAGAGGACTTTTATCCAAAGAAAGAAAATAATAACTATAGTAACATATTTATTAGAATCTTCGGGATTTTTTTTTTTTGAACCTGTATTACTAAAGGCCGAAAATATATTATTTTATTAGGATCTTTTTTATTTCTGATAGAAGGCGTCAGTTTCGGCCTTGTTCTCGGCTTTTTGATGTTCTCGATCTCTTGATATCTATATCTGGAGATCCTGGCGATCTTTCGGTCTCAATAGGGTAATTAAGGTATTTCTAAGTTATTAAATTTACCTTATATTGATGTTTCTGGTTAGCCATGACTTCATGTAGTTAGTCGGATCTTATATTGTAGCTATAGCTAAACTTTACTGCAACTATCTTCCAATTGTGTACATGTATAGATTATGGATCATGACTTCAAGTTATTGGCTGACTAGAAACTTAGGCATACAAGTTCTCAAGGGGTAGATTTATTCTTATGACTAAATAGATAGGATGCTGGGTTAAATAAAATATAAAAAAAATACATAATTTGATACGGAGTCTAGCATTGTTTTAGTATATGGATTTGTATGGCAGTGGCATATTATATATTGATGAATATCTGTATTTATTCTTTAGGTATCCCTAGAGGTTCTAAGAAAGTGGCTTGAGTTGAGCTTCGTCTATTTTTAGATCAAGGTAAGTCGTGAATTTATGCATTTTGCGCTGCTTATTTTTCATATAAAAGTATATCAAGTATATGCAGATTTGTTCCGAATGGATTATATCATTTTGTATGATTTACTCATATATCGGTTGTTGGTTGGATTGTATTTTATGATGCATGCGGTTATTTTGGTATGAGCGTATGCTTCTTCGTTGACAATCATGTCTTATCATATAGTAGTGAGTTGAGATACATATATGATTGATTAATTTCACTATTGGTTAACCTTTAGCAATTCTTTATGAAGTATTTGGTTATATGAACTTTGTTCAATTGTTCTTAAAGCATATGTATCTCAGGTCAATATATCGGTATATGTTAGAGATAAGTAAGCCATCTAAACATGACTCAATGTGCCTCTATGAGATTATTTTAGCGCTAAATTGGGTCTCTATATCCTAGTACCACGGGATTAATAAAAGTGGGAATACCGTGTCAACCGGGGTATTAAGTGCTGACTGCATTGAGACGTTGCCTATTTATTTTCCAATTCATGATTTTTTTAAGTTTTCAAATATTTGCATCAAGTATTAGAGTTCATTGATGATTTTCTATTATTCCTATATTTGCTTATCATTTGTCAAAATGTTTGAGTTTTTACGAAACCAGTGTTTAATGTATAAATTTATCCACTTATTGAGTTGTGAACTCATTGTGTTATATTCATTCTTTTCAGAGACTCGAGATTAGATGGAGTTGGTGGTTGCTAAATTCTTAGAAGAGAGTAAGAAATAAAATTACAGATTGCTAAATTTCTTATAGGTGGAGGTTAAATAAGGGTTTGATATTTAGTTGATAATTTGATAGTTTTGTAATAATGAGATTCTTCCCTTCCGGTTGAGTTTTATTTCAAGTTGAAGAATATTTATTTTTTTCTCAAGTTAATTGGATTAATATTGGCTTTTGGATTATAGAGAATATTTGTTGTTGGTTTTAGTTTAATGGTAAGATTATTTTAATGGTCTTTTGATGAATATAAATTTTTAAAAAACTTTTTACGAGTTTAGTCGGACTCTAATATTTCTTCTAAGTTTGAAAATTGAGGTGGTGAAACACTACCTAACACGGACGCTCTCAAAATGTTCAAGCATTGAACAAATCCGCATGCATTGTACGAAACATCTGAAGAACTTTCCAGGAACAAGCCCTCATACTTTCCGCTAAGCAGTAAAAACTCATAAAGCCAGGTTAAAAAAGTTGGAAAAGAACCCTCTCTCGCATTCAAATCTCATCTGTATTTTTACCCTTGTATGTAAGTACCGTACACAGTACATTATCACAGTAAATACAGCCTTTATGTGCACACTACATGTTGCTTCCAACTGTGAATTTTCCATCTGTCAGTCCTGAAGAGAAGTATATATCAGTTGAGTGAGGAGAGAGAGAGAGAGAGAGAGAGAGAGAGACAGAGAGCTTCTGCTTCTATTTTCTCTTTCCGTTCTCTCTCAGCAGAAAATGACCAAAGATAATGATGAGTTCAAGCTCCCCCCCCCAGCCACTTCCATTTTAGTTAGCTTTTGAATTTTGATGATTGTAACTGCAAAACTTTGCCCATTTCTCCAATTTTTATATATATATTTTTTACATTCTTCAACATTCTACAAAATTTCCAAGTAAAATGTAAAATATAAGTAAATAGATCTTCTTATCCTTGGCTAATCAAAGTTCTAATCTTAAAAATGAAAAAAACAGAGCTAAATCCAGATTCAAGAGCTAATCATAGAGACGTTTAGCCCTGTTTCTACTCTGTTTCAACTCTTGTACAAAGAAAAATATTTTTTTTTATAATTATTCTCTCGAATTTTCATTCAGGGGTTTACTCAGTTAGCATTGATTTAGAGAACCAAAAGGTTACAGTCTCTGGTACTGTGGACTCTTCCACCCTCATTAAGAAACTGAACAAATCGGGCAAGCATGCAGAACTCCTCTCCTCTCAGAAATCCAGCAACCAGGCCCAACAAAAGCCCAAACCCAATCAAAACCAAAAGCAGCAGCAGCAACAGCAAAAGCCACAAAAGCCTCCGCAGGCCAACCCAGTGAAAAATGCCAAGGCCCAGCCCAAAAATCGCCCCTCCTTCAGCTCAGATGAAGAGGATTTTTCCGACGACGACGATGAATATGATGATGATGAAGAGATGAGATTGATCACTGAGAAGATGAAGCAGCAGATCAACAATGCCAACGGAAAAAAGAATGCAGCGGGCCCAAAGAAGAGTGGGCTGGGCCCAATCCAGGCCAAGGCCCAACATGGCCCAGACAATAGACCCAAGATGGTTCATGCAGGTAACAACATGGGTCTTGGCATGAATGGCCATCAACCCATGATGATGGGGGCTCATCATCACCCATCATCCATGATGATGAACATGAGAGGTGGGCCCATGAACAATAACATGATGATGGTGCAGCCTCAGATGATGTACCATAGATCTCCACAGGTCTCTCCTTACACTGGCTACTATAATCAGTACTCTCAAGCTCCATACTTCAGCAGCAATCAGCCTGCAGAGAGAACTGACTACTCACATCTCTTCAGTGATGAGAATGCAAACAGTTGTGTTGTCATGTAAGGAAAAGAGTTGGGGGCTGTATTAGCTAGCTGATCTCTATTTAGTTATGTTGGTTATGGCTTTGTTTAATTAAGTGTTGGTTCTTATCCAAGGAGTTGGTAGACTTTGAAGTTTTGAGCTTAAGGTTGATATAATAATAATGCCCATGTGACTGTAATATGTAAGTTTTAGTAAAAAGATATGGTTTTTAGTTGTTTGTTGGAAGATTCACTCTAGATAGTCTACTGTCTGTTGCTTGTTGTCTCTTGCTTTTAGCACAAGGAATATATTGGTACATGAGAGGGGAGTAGCTAGACTGTATACCATGTGATGTATTATTATTATTATTATTATAGGGGAGCAGCTGCACACCCTTTTAGGTTTAGATGGTCCTGGTCCTGTCCAAAGCTCTTATCTTCTCAAATGTCCAAAGAAATTAGAACCCTAGAACTAATTGTAAGTACAACAAGTAGATTTGTGTCATGGAATCAACAGCTAATGTTGCATGACCAGGAAAGATCAATTATGACCAATGAAGGTAATTTCAATACAATATTATTCCATTATCCCTGTAATTTCAATTCCGGATAGATCCCGTGTGGTTCTATTGTTGCATGTAGACACCCCGAGCAATTTTTTTTCTTTTGACATTTGAGAGAAATTGAAATTTCTCCTTTGACAAAAGGAGCACACGAGGGTAATATAGTCCAAAAAGTTACGCTCAAGTGATCTATATGCAACAGTGAAACTACATGGCGTCTATCCGCAATTAATCATAGAAAATAATACTATTGTGTTTATAGTTAACTCATGGCCTATGTAATCACTGATAAATCAACTTTACAACAGATACTCTTATATGTGGACTAAAAAAAATCCACACCTTTGACTACAATTATACAAATAGAGTTCTGTTTGTAGTTTATGTTGCATTTATATTTTCCATCAATACTGGTAATGCTGCATTAATTCTTACAACAAATGGACAAAGATAAACACAACTCCAAGGACATACCTGAAACTGTTAGGCAATAGCTGGATATAAAGAATCCAAAAAACCAATAGTGCACAGTCATGAGAAGGGATGGTGTGTGGTACCTGATTTCATTTAGGACACAAAGAAAATTGAAATTTATCAGTAAGCATAAACCAGTGGATTCAGATTTATATTGACCAATTAGATTTTGAGCAGGTTTTTCATCTGTTGCTTCTTCCATTTTCTTTTCGGTTTCAGATTGATATCTGTTGACATATTAGAATAGTTAAGGGGTTATTTGTAAGATGTATTTGTAGGGGGCCTATATAAGCACATGTTATTTCATTAATAAGATTAGGGTTTCTTCATATATTTCAACTTGGTATCAAAGCAACCAAAACCCTAGCCGCCGCCCTCAGATTGATATCTGTTGACATATTAGAATAGTTAAGGGGTTATTTGTAAGATGTATTTGTAGGGGGCCTATATAAGCACATGTTATTTCATTAATAAGATTAGGGTTTCTTCATATATTTCAACTTGGTATCAAAGCAACCAAAACGGTATGAAATTTACCCTAAAAAATTAGAGTAAATTAAGAAAACATGCCTAGAGGATTTTTTTATTCCACTAACGCTCTTGAACTTTAGGGGCCATTACGTATAAATCCCCAAAAAGTTTTTATTCCAATAAATCTCAAAATTAGCGCCATCAATTCCAACGTGTCATGTGGCTAACATGTCATGTAAAAAAAAAATGAAACTTCCATTTTAGTCCAAAAATGAAAAGAATAATTTTAATTACTGAGGGGTGATCTTATTTTTATTCATTTGCTTGCAACGTGATGATTAAAGTTAATGATGATAATTTAGGGAATTAAATGAGAAATTTTTAGGTGGGATTTAGTAAAATAAAAAAGTTTAAGTCGTTATGTGAAATAACTAGGAAAGTTAGGGGATCTAGTGAATTAAAAAAATTAGGGTATTCATTGCAACACACCAAAATTCATGGGTTTTTTTAAAAATTAATCTAAAAAATGCAAGCTTTTACAAAAGATAATGACAATACGATTAATTTGTCCAATTTTTTCTTTGATAATCGATATCCACCTCACAACTTGAAATGGGCTGACATGGCTAAAAATTTGTGGCGATTGACCTTCTGAGTTTCTCTAGAAATAAATAATAACAAAGAAATCCAATCCATAAATAATAACTTAAATTTAAAATGAAATGAAAATTCTTGTAACTATTTTTATAGGAACTCTAGAAAAAGAAACCAATCAAATTAGAATTTATATGGTAAATATGATTTACTACTTCAGATGCATGATAATAACTGTAGGAGGGGATTAAGATATGAGATATAGGTAAGAGATTCACACTTTTTTTATACAATAGAAATGTAGAAAATCGAAAATGAATCCATCATATAGGAATTCTAATTTAAAATTAAAATAATATATGGCACTTTGCATTGTTTTGTGCCTTAACATATTACATGTCTTTTGCCTTAACATATTACATTGTTTTGTGCCTTATCATATTGTTTTTTGCCTTACCAGTAGAAGTAGTTCACCAATTTCTTTTTGTATACGAAAGGTGAGATCTCTCTTATATAGAGATAAGGAGGATTATATAAACGAGTATAGATATTGGCACAATTACCCAAATAACTAAACATATGATAACTGTTGAAATAGTAATATGTTTAGGGGCTTATGTGTAAGTTGTAGGGGCCTATATAAGCCCATCTTATCTCATGAATAAGATTAGGGTTTTCATTTACAACATGGTATCAGAGCCACCAAAACCCTAACCCTAGCCGCCCCCCCTCTCAACCGGTTGCACCACC